GATAGATAGATAGATAGATAGATAGATAGATAGATAGATAGATAGATTGAGGGATGGATGGATGGATATTAATGGAAACTAATGAAAAAAATGCTTTAAAAAGTTCTTATATATGTTCATTTTCTAATTTCCTCGGTATGTAAAAGCTGTCTTTTTAGAAAAGTTTTCTTCTAAAGCACTGTTTAATTGATATTTTTATTCTTTAGTCGGCCCCCAGCCAAACATTTATCTCATCCTACCAGTGGCCCAGATATTTTTCACTCACCCTAGGTTCAACATAGTTTTTCACCACTTATTATTAGCTGAAGGAAGCTTTGGTTTAGTGGGACGGTGGGGTCAGACTCAGCTCTCAAACATGCAAAATCACTTGTAATCAAGAGTGTTTGTCTTTGAAAACCTCGTACCCAAGTTATTTATTATCATTGATTTACTGTTGCATGATGCGTTGATCTCCAGAGATTATTGTGTCACATCTAATATTGAGTAGGTTACCCCCCGCTGCCTAAAGAGCTTTGGGGTGTCTGGGTGTGTTTAGTGAACATTTGGAGGTGTCCTGGAGTGTGGGTCCTGTGGGTAATGGGTGGGGTCTCAGTGGATTTTGGCTCACTTCCTACTGATTCCCTTAGATTAGTAACTTGAGAGGAACCAGGTGAGATCCCTTTATATTCCTGTTTTGTTCTTCAAGACCTTTTGAAGCAGTCCACTGTCCTCCTTAAAGCCTGTTGAAGTAGGTTATGATGTATAGATCAACTGCCAAATGCCACAGGAATGGTCTTTTTTTTAACCAAACCAGAAGGTTCAGCATATCCTGACACCAGGAGAAGACACCTGGTCTTTTAATGGCCCTTTGGAGGGACGATTAAACAATGACAAGGTTCCAAAAGTTCTAGATGACCTTTTTTTTTTAGGTTTTATAGTTTCTGTGTTGGAAAGTTTTGTCTCCTGGCTGTACGTGGCTTTTGTTTTTGTCGAGATGCCGGTGATGTAAGGAGACCCAGGAGGGATCCGGCCTCGTTTCCTTGAAGTTTGTTTGGCTTTCCGTGGACCTTGAAATCAGTGTCAGTTCCTCGGATCCGCATTTGTCAGCATTTTTTAAACTCCGGGATAAGAGCTGTACCTGTCTGCTGGAGCTGATCAATTCGTAATAACTCGCCGGACTCGTGAGTAATTCAAACGGAATTTAACTCTGAATGTGTGAGTCATGCTGGAGAAGGTCCTGGTGTGGTTATCGGCGTGTTCTCAGTCTGAGGGGCTGCTGGATGACTAATGTTCCGCGCTAGTAGATTGGCTCTGGATCACCTACTTACACTGACCTCAGATGCCCCGATGCAGACAAACAAAGCTCTTCTACTGCGCCTGTATTTTTACATTATCCTACTTCTGGCCAAACACTGTTTGACCTTTCCCTTTGCTTCCTCACTCGTTACCTCGCTCGTTTTTTTTTTGCACACGCTCTCCAGCTCTATTGATCTCTGTCGTCCTCACGCTGTTTAGCCGGTTATCGCGTCTCTCTCCACCTTTTTTTTTCTCACGCCCTACTCTCAAGTCTCCATAAATCACGCCGATTTCAGTCGGCTTCACAGCGATCGTGAGCTGCACTCTGTATGAGGAGGAGGAGGTCAGTGGGACGGGCTGGACGACTGCCCCCCCCCCCGTGTCCCCGCAGGGTCTCCGGCCTACCGGATGATCTGAGATCGGAAAAACTCGGAATACTATCGTGTCTTAGTGCAGGAAAAGGGAAAGCAGTGCAGAATAATAGAGTTGGGGCTCCTCTACAAGCCACTATTTTGCTTGAAAACATACAAAAAACCAGGACTTACTTGATATAGGTTCATATTTAACACGATCTAGGCTGCTGGACCTTTTCAGGTAAATTCATTTGAACATTTTCTACAGATGTTTATGGTCGGTAATCACGACTGAAAGTCAAACCGGCCTGATTTGAATAATATTTGATTTAAAAGCTTCTGCAAACTTGTAACCAATGATAGAGAATTGGGCAAAAAAGCTGATAAGTTTGAAATCAGTCCGACTGACCAAATTAAAAGTGACACGTACAAATTCACGATCTACGACTCCACTAATTAAAACTTATGTCGAAAAAGAGGAATTGTCGGTCAAACCATTACAGCCGAATCTGTAGTATCAAGGCAAAAGTAAAGTTATGAATACACTTATTTCTACTGCCGACATTTCTACCGCAGGATCAATTATTCAGAACCTGACAGAGTAAGTCAAAGCCCGTAAACATGAACGTGTCCTTGGCCTTGGAGAAACTTGGTTTGGTCAGGAGTCAGTATACAGGATGTAGTCACATGACTCCTGCTCAGCCTAAAGATATTTGACCATGTTAGAGTTTACAACCGATGCTATGTTAGTGTAATGTTTGGAAGAAGTGCCTTCTTAAAGAGTTCTGGCTCTGGACATGAATAAACTACCACTATGCTTGTTGTGAAGGTGGTATTTTTCTAAATCTGTAGTTTTTGTAAGGATTTACAGGCTTTATAGATGCATTTGATGTTTTTTAGTATGCGCCTATTGACAAATGACTTGTATAAAACTGAGCGATAAGTTTAAGAATCTTCAAAAATACTCAGTTTATTAAAAAGTTATTTGGAAAGCTTTTGGCTGTCAATCATTACATTATTTCCAATTAGGAGTTTCACACATAAACACAATGATATCTGTGTTACAAATAGAATTTGGTAAGGATATTTTGTTAATACTAGAAACGATAATATTGTTATTCTATCCCAGCTGATAGATTCAAAATGTTATTAAATACTAACAGATTTTAAACAACAAAAAGTCATTCACATCCCCACTTAGCCTACAATGGGACTAGTAAACCCACAAGAACAAGGATGCAAATACATTTGAAATAAATAATCAAAGTCATTGGATCTATTCTAAAATCCCATCTCTTTAAAACCTAAAATATTCAATCGGATTACATTTTCGCCAACCAGATGGAGGATTTGGTCTTACATAACATAAAAGGTTAGGTGTCAAAGTTTGTTTTTCCCCTCTCATCTTTCCTGTTCTGTGTGCAATTGAATTAGACACCAGTCTGTCTGGAGTTTCTTGGTGAGATCTTGTAGGATTGTAAGGATATAGACAAAGATATTTTGGGTCCAGATTTTTCAGATGCAGACAACTGCTCACATGGTCAGGAACCAGGCATCAGTCAGTCCAGTGTAATTCTGGTGGATTCTACAGTACAGCTCTCAGACTGATGCTTTTTTCCAATCACCTGAAATTGCACTTAGTATGATGATTGTCATTATCATAAGCTATCTTGTTGCGTGCATAAATTGTGTTTTGGCTAGATGTGTGGCATTATGAACAAGGGGAATGGGGAGAAAACATATCTATGGACAAAAAGTGGACTGGAATACCACTCATAAAAAAGGCCTGAATCTAAAAAGGCAAATTGGATGAAGATATGCCAAGTTTCTTGTGCATTTTGGCTTCTGAAATCTCTGTTCCGAACTGCACCTAATGATGAGGTATACTGTCTTTTTGAAGAGCAGAATCCTCCCGTTAGACCATCTGCTTCTGTCAGCCACTTGAATAGAAAAATATCACGAGCAATCCGGAGCCGACCCCTCCGGTCACATCTCAAGAAGGTTCCAGTCACTTCTGCCCAATACAACAGTTTTCAGAACTTAATGGTTTCCACTTTGGCGAAAATGTGATTTCATGGCCTCTTTCCCACGGGGACCGTGTGACCAGAAGCGACCCGGTCCTCATCGCCGCGCAGATTAGTTCCAGCCACGGTCCAGAGAGGCCATTAGCAATAAAACATCTGGGCCCCCTCTCTAGTGCGTAAAGCTGAGTCCCAATCACAGGTGGAAAGCCTCGTATGAGGATTGGATGGTCAAAGGCAAAACCTGACAGCCTTATGTTTAGTGTGATGTATATTCTGGTTTTATTATAAAACATAATCATTTATACAGTGAATTAAAAAACTAACAGATGTTTTCTTTTGTTCTGATTACAAAAGAGCATCATTTTTGGATTCGGTCACGATAGAAAGATCCTCTATATATTTTTGCTACTCCACTGTTGGAACAAAAAACGCCATGGATGTGTACATTTTTTGCCAATTATTCGATTTATCTTAGTTTCTTGCAGTTTCATATATATTTTTGCTTGGTTTTTTAAGCAAAAATGTATCAAAAAGGGTTTGTGATCTGGCATTTAAAGAGTAAACTTTGGTTCATTTTTACAACCGTGTAGGTTTTTTGTAGGCAAATGTGACCACATTTTGACAAGAAAACCTACTTGGTATGTGATATTGGAAACCCTGATTGGACAAGAGTACCTTACATGTATTATTGAACTTTAAGACTGACAAACGGACAAAATGCTGCTATCATAAAGAGTGAAATAGTAAGCGACCTATGGGAAAATTGTTCAAAGTGTTTTAAAAGGAAGTTTGATGCTCCTTTATTATAAGTGCATTGGACCCAGGGATATTTTGTAGTCACCATTACATTAGATTTAGTTAATACATTTTCACAAAGATGTATGTTTTGGATAAAAGCAGTCAAGTATGTTCAATCATAATCATTACATGTTTTTAAGCTCACTTTAGGGTCC